TCCCAACGTCTGCCTTCGATGTCTCTTCTTCTTTTTGGGCCCATGCGTCCACCTCCTTCTTAAACGCTTGGTCAAAAGCTTCATTCCCCGAGGGCACTCCAAGTCTCTTGTAGTGTCCTGCTAGAACTTCCCTTTTTCCCTTCCCACTGCTGACTAATCCACCGTTCAGTCGTGGGGGGGGGCATTTATTTTGTTGATAGGCTTCCGAAGCGTAAATACGTGGTTGTCTGTGCCAAAAATCAATTTTACGACAGAGCAAATCGAACCAATTTGACTGCGCTACGAAATGACGACAAACTGTGTGTACGGTATGCACTTCAGACCATCAGCCAAAGGGCCGGCGCACAAGTTGGAGACTCTCATCACCCCGAACTTCTCACGTGTATCATTTTGAAGCTACAAGCAAAAGAGCAACCATCACACGCGAGAAAGGGGCGTCTGCAATGGAGCAAGTTGACCCTGTTGCTTAGAACTAGCGGCTTGCAGCTCATATGCAGCGCTCAGCGTCTTTCAACCACTAGACTAGTGATCTTGGTATCGTCAATCGCCGTTCCTCGCTCCCCAACTTCAAAGGAGTGCGGCCGTTGGGTGCAGGCAAAACCTCCCGCCGTCAGCACGCGCAGGCGTTGTCACCGCGCAGCGCCGAGAAAGGGGTGTTCCTACCTACCCCGGAACCGCTTGCAGCCAAACCTACCAGGAACAGCAGTAGTTGTGCCCCTTCGTTAAAACAGTCGAACTGATACTACATGGGGATGGATGCTTTCGGCGACCGCGCGCAACCTACGCACTTTCTGGAATTGAAAAGCACCACATCCCGTTCGACTGTGAGCATTTCTCGAACGGGTTGTCTTTCTGTGTGTGTTTATTTTTCCCATCATCTTCTGGCATTCATCATTCAGGCGCGGTCCCGATATATCGCGGTCCCGAAAACAGCGCAGTGCCCCGGCATAACGCTGCCAATTTTTCTTGGCACAACTACTAAATTACTCTTCTGGGATCTTCCCTTAATAGCGCGGGTCCCGATATAATAACGCGGTTGTCTTTTTCTGTGACTTAACCCGCAATCCATATACACCGATCGAGACTACGACAATGACGTCAAGCCCTTCGCTTGACCGTAGAAATTGAATGTTCCGAAGAAGGCAGAAGCAACCCTCGGGATCTGTTGCTGCTGTGGTAGGCGTAACGTCTGTGAACCCAGCATTCGAACGGAAAGCCGAACCCTTACTCGACAGAATAAATGGGCGGCGAGGACGTAGCGATATCGCTCCAGTGTTTTACGTAAGCTCAAAATAACTTCACCCGAAGGATGCACGAGCTGAGGGCAGTTTCAGCCCGTTTCCAAATGTTACCGAGTGTCGTCGTCGTGTCGCTCGACAATCGCTTCGAGACTTACACAGGACTTCCCCGTCAACTCTTTTGACCCTGTATGGCCGTCCAAGTTCGGCGGATTTTGGCGAAGATCGGCGTCCTCCAACATGGTACAACCCAATGCCTCGAGCTGTTGCACAAAGTGTGGACATACACCCAAACGCCGCCTTTGATTTAAACGTTCATGTTGGCAGAGGCGCGCCAATATGCACAACCCGCAACATGTGTGCAACCCCGTCAAGTTCGTTTGAGAAATGATTCAGCTCGCCAAAAGAAGCAACACCAAAATGATCCCCAACCATTCCACGCCAGAACATCCTCTCACTCCCAAAAAAAACACCGACAAAAACGAATACAACGTGCCAGCGCCATCCACACGCTGCTCGTACAACAAAGCATCGTTGTTTTCCACACGCGCCACAACAAAACAGAAGGAAAAAAAAGACAGCACACATGCAATGAACCATCGCACCGATTGCCGAGGTTCAGAGCGTCTTTCGCCACACATTCCCGGGGAACAAACCAAAATTCGAAAACAAAACACACGATATATATTTGTAGAGAGTGCCACGAAACAATCCCACCCACGGACGGTGGTGTCCTCTAGAACAACCGCAACGCGTGGAAAGAGCATGCTGAACCGACGAACCCCCCAACCTACAGGCCGTCTAACTCTGGCCGCTCCTCGAACAGGAGAGGAGCGTCTCGGAGCAGCCGGACAGTACCAGATTGACGGGTTTCCCGTACCAGATCGACGGTTTTCCCGTATCAGGTCTACGGTTTTCCAGCACAAACAAAGGAGCGCCTCGGAGCAACCACAAAGTACCAGATTAAAAAGTACCAGATTGACGGTTTTTCCGTACCAGATCGACGGGTTTTCCGTGACGCACAAGACATTGTGGCATTTACAAAACACGATACTAGTTGTCCATCGAGCCGCTGCCTCCGCCACCGCTGTCACCATCAGGCGCTGCACCGCCCGCGTGGCCTCCGACCCCTTCTAGAGACAACGCCAGGGCCTGCTGCATAAGCGCCTCGTCGTCGTCGTCATCGTCAAGACCGTCTGATCCGTCAGCCACCGCGTCTGCTCCGGCACCGGTTACTGGGGGACCTCCTGTAGAAGGATGGTGATACAGCAGACACGAAAGATTGGGGGAGGGCGGTGGCAGTGTTCTTTCAGGTGCAATGCAAGGAAGGGCATCATTAATGTTTCGGGTGGAACGAGAGCGCTGCGTACACATGCATACAGAAGTCAACGCCGGTAGTACCCAAAATAAAATAGAAGGCAACGCGTTTTGATTGTGGGCGCTTAACGGTGAGCGAGTCGCTCGGCAGAGGTACTACAAGTCTGACACTGACCCGTACGGTGGGGGGCGGCATGCTAATGGCCGCACTCGTACGTAAAGCCCACCAAAATAATCTAGTCACACCAATCACCGGAAAACCCTCGTTCTCAGTTCGCACAAAGGCAAAACCTTAACCTTTACTCCAGAAAGGCGAAAGCTCAGCGGCGGTGAAGACATGCACCGAGCATGCCTAACAACACCAACA